CTTGTCAATCCTTAATTGGAGTAATCTCTTCTTATAAAACTGAAACCTACGGGGTCTTAGAAGTAAGATATGGACTACCCAACTAAGTGCATTGGGTACTGTGTTCTTGGTTCCAGCTTTATGATCGACGGCAGAGGAATATTGCTGCAAGAAAGAAATCTATTTACCATGTTCATAATTCAGTTTCTTTCAGGAGTGTATGTATTGAAGTACCCCACAGTTGGAATACAGCACAAACTCCTTGAAACTGAATGGTGATGCCAGTAGCGAATACCTTGAACGAGATCATAAAATTCCATGTCATAAATAGAATAGTACCGCTTTGCTTTATTCACTTTCACAGCAAGATATCGGATTATATTTGCTTCTTGACTAAGAATCCCTCCAATTCTGACTTGTGAAGCTTCACTTGTAACTTCAATTACCTTTGAAGAACCTGGTAGGTGCTGAACAGGAGCTTCTGTCATTTTCTCCTTTAAGCATTTATCCAGTTGAATTGATCCTTCTTCATCTAATAAGTTATAGTCAGCTAGAAGTGTTCAAGGTTTAAAGGAAGCCCGACATTATGTTCATGACATTGAGAAGTAGCGTGTTACCAAATTCCATGAGATGCTCCTCTCTACTCGATGATGGGCATTTTCTCTAGAAATCTAGGAGCTTCAACGCGATGCACTGTAACATGAACAGAAGAACTCTGCAACTTCTGGGAATGAGGCTGGTCAGTGATATGCCAAATTCAGTACAGCAATTTAATCCCTTGTCCCTTTTGAACTTTAAATTTCCATAGTTATAACCTCATGGTGATGTAAGCTGCCCAAAAATCTTGAGATCTATGAAAAACAGGTTTTTTTGAGGTTTGTGAAATAGTTAGAAGTGGCAGGTCCTTCAGAGAGAGAAATTATCCTCTTGGTCAGGTGAACTCCACTAATCAGCCTACTCGACAAGCTCAGCAAATGTCCTCTTTATCTATACCCCATTTATTTTCTTTTGCTGTGGGAGGAGGTTTTCTTTTATTGTCTTTTCTGTGTTCTTTATCTTCTTCTAATCCTTATTATTTTATTTTGGGTTGGGGTGATGGGGCACACAATACCATACCCGAATTGCTTAAAGGGTTTGTTGAACTAACTAGTCGTTCCAGTTTACAGAGTATGCTTAAAGAATTTAAATGATGATAAAAAATTTCTCTCACTATTTGCAGGAGTTTTCTATATTCTTGCTAGGGCAATAATTTAATATTAGTGTTTTTCCATTTTTTATTTTTCCAGATAAAGAGCTTGACATTATTGAAATGGCTGTTTACGGGGATGTTATCCGGCCTGGGAACCAATGTCGTTGCAGGACTGTTGCTGAAATGCTTGGCAAATGTAAGTCCAAAGATAGTATGAGCGCCTGCCAGTTGCCATAAGTGATGATGGCTCCTTGTGGCATTGAAGGCTAAAAAATAAAGGTAAGACTGCAACTGAACAGATTTGGCTCAATGAATTGTATACTTTTCAATTCGTAAAGGATTCACATATTTTCTTGTTTTGTATTGGCATTGATTTGATTGAAACTGATTCTTCATATGCAGTTAAGTTATTGATAAAGTGGATTGATGGGTGTGTAAGCCGTAGTTTCATATTTTGAAACTGCTGCAGAAATTGGTATTTTTCCTTGACATTTTTGCTTCTGAAATAAGACTACTGAATACAACAGAAAAGGATGAATGATTCGAAACGGACAAACGATGGTGGCCCAGATGAAAATGGATTATAATTTGGGTGACTACTGGTGTTTTTAATTTAATCATCATTACAAGATCTGGAGTGTAATAGTGTCCTGTCGTGCGTTCCCATTGCTTTGGAAGATTTTTCCCACAAGGATTATTTATTTTGAGTGCTACCTATGTTTTGCATAATATTGGTTCTAATATAGAGATAAATTGTAGAAAAGAATCAAACAAAATTGTCCGTGATAATATGTGGCATTAGTAAATACTTATAAATATCCTGTAAATTAGTGCAGAAGTAAAGCTTTTATTGCACATTAAATCTATAATGTAAACTTTTGAAAGCAACAATATCTACTTACAAATGTTTAAAAGTGGCACAAACCTGTTTGTACCAGTGAATGCAAATTGATTAGTGAAAAATTCTACACTAGCGAGACTTGTAGTTTTGAGTTCCCGACCCAGTGATTGACAGTTAATGTAACGGATCAGTGGGTGGTTCAATTGTTAGGTAACTTTAAGGTCCCTAGTTTGCGAGAGAAGCACCTTTAATTTTATCTTGGTGAACTAGTCTGATTTTAAAGAACACTTGGTTCAAAAAATTGGAAATTTGTGGTTTGAACAGTTCTTGACTGGTTCAACTGCCGACTGGTTCATTGAAGCAATTCAAACCAGTTACATTAGTGGTTTAATAAACATCGCTAAAATAATTTCGCTACATACAGCATCGCTCTCTAAATTCACTGAAGGACGCGGAGAGAGTGAACTGTTTGGTACTACATTACAAGTGTAGTACCACCAGTGTTGAGATTTTTGTTATTTGTGGAATGGCTATAGTAGCATTTTCCTACAGATTTCTGTCATGTTTCTAGCCGTTAACACATAGAAGTTGCTCTTTTACCACATTCAAGGCATGTTTACATTTAAATATGAAGGTTCAAGTTGAAACAGGCATCGGATGAAGTAAACAGTTAATGACGTCAAATGGCTCATTGGCTTTTCGCTACACAGAATTAACTAGTTCTTTTTTCTTTAAAGATGGATGAATTCTTCTCAAACTGTAGCTGCTGAGGGTATTCAAGTCTAGCCTCTGCGCTTTACCTGCTAGTTATCCACCACAAGCTGCACCACAGCCGGCTTCACAAGTGCTCCCATAAACACCCGAATCTGCAGCTGCACCTTTGTCTCGTGGTGCCGCACCATCTGCACATGTTGTGATTGCTACTACTATGATAAATAGGGTGCCCAGAACTACACAAAGGACTTGAAAAACATCAATGCCATGACTGGCACCTCCATCCACATCTATCAATTCTTTCCATTCCCGAACCATTGTCTCTCTTTTTAGCTATATCTTTGCAGTGACAACCTTGATTGAATATGTAGAACGAGAAATTTTATTTGTGATTTACCACCCCAGCCTCTTATGTTATAGTTGCTTGGAAGGCCAAATTTACGTGAATAGTTAAACGACCTTTCTTTCTTCTTAAGTATTCCTAATTTCATATACAGTTATACAGTGGCGCTCAACGTGGAACACATTTGATGATTCTAATGTTTTTTTATTTTAGTATTGGGGGAGAATAGTTACAAGTGGTGACACATTCTTAGTGGATCAAGCAGATACCACTCTTTGTCAGTTTATAAGGTGTAAACACGACCGTTACAAGTTCTTTAATTGGTGATGAAATTTTGATGATGTTTTTTGAGAAAAAAGAAGAAGTGGATTTAGCATTAATTTAATATGTTAGTGGAATTTTTCGTCGGATTCACTGACTCGATACTATATCGACTGTTTTTTTTGACTCCGTCATGTTGGAACTAGTTGTGCGAATTTTTTCTCAATCAATGTCCAAGAGACTGTTAATCATGCACTCGCGCGTTGCACGTGTGACTGCTTCCCTGGTGTTTTGAGAATAATGCGCCAAATTCAATTGTTTGCTTTCATTTGTATCCGAGTCACCGTGCAATTGATAAGTGTAGTGCATGAGTCGTTGAAAGAATAAAGTAGCTCAAAGTTCTTGTTTCTTTTTCTGCTTATGATCCTTTGGCCTTCGTCAAAGGGCAAGTTTATAATTAGAGGAGTCCTTTGTTTTCTTGAATTCCTTCAATTTCTAGGCCCTACGGGAGATCTAATTCATCACGAAAAGACAATTTTCACTTTGTAGAATTGAAGATGGCTCTACCATTGGACCGAAAGATGTTGGAAAGTCACATTATACGAAATTGAGTTGCTTTAACTTAATGAGTTAACCTTTCGAAATGAAACCTTAATTTCATTATAAGTGGTATAAAAGATAGGCCTCAAACAAACTCAGCCATGTGGATGCACAAGATGAATTTTCAATTGCAGTTGGACGAGGGTAGTGTGCTCAAACTGGATAGCAATGGCCTCGGTTGACTCTAAAGGCGGTGGTACTCACGTAGGCGATGGTCATGATACAAAGACCTAGCTAATGCTACTTTATTTGATTATGTGAACAAATTTTGACATCGATTAGGCATGAGGTAGATGATGAACTTATAAAGAATTGAGGCCCTATTTGATTTGACAAGTTTTCCATGGAACTTGGAAATGAAATTCCATCTTATTTCAAAAGTCATATTTGATTGGGAAAATTTTCTTGACAATTCATTTTCCATCTTTTGCCTCACACGATTCCAATTTCATGGTTTTGAGGAAAATCAATTCCTACCAATTTGGTGGGATTTGGTTTTTCAGGCTACTTTTTTTTTATTATTCCCAATTGTAATAAATTTTATTCATTTAATGGACAATTTTCATGTAAAATAAAGCCAAATGAATACCAAAAGATTCAAAATTTCAATATTTTTCACGTGAGAAATTATACTAGTCAAACACAATTAATTGACAATTCTCAAGAAAATAATTTTAGGCAATTCAATTTCTTGAAATTCATTTTTTTCCATCCAAATTCAACTTTTGCAATCAAACGGACCCAAGTTACTCATTTCGAGATGAAACTTCCATTTTCTTGCCAATAACATGTTTGATCACACACCAAAAAAAAAAAAAGGACAGATCAATCAATGCACGGTCAGGAATCCAATGAAAAATACCTTCAAATATACCAAATCCGATGCCATTAAATGAAAATTTAGACGGTTTCTCTCACAGGAAATGTAATGTGTACATAATATTTCACACCTCCCTCATATAGAGGGGGCCACACACAGTAAAATATTTGTGGGGTCCCCTCCATGTGAGGGAGGTGTGAAACATTGTGTACACCACAAGGTGTACACATAGACTAATTCTTCTCTCATTAGAAACTAATTATGTTACAGTACTGAAAGATTAAGAATTAATTTATTTGTAAACACAATAAATTAAAGAACAATACTATAGTGTCACATTTTCCAAATTTCAAATACAGAGATCGAACTACCAAACACGAGAGTTAATGCAACAAAGTACTCATATCAATATCACCGAAAGGCATCACTAGAAAAATATAAAATGAAATTAATGCATGACAATTTATGGTTGTAATGTAGGTCCAATCCCTCGTGCACATGTGTGCATCCATTCTAATCGTGCGTTTCATACCTAATATTGGATGATAAATGCTATTCATCCCCAGTGGGGATGCATCCCCAATCTATGTGACGTTAATGTGACATTAAACGATAGGTGAAATTAAATAAGTCATTTAATTTCACCAATAATTTACATCCACATATATTGGGGATGCATCCCCACTGGAGATGAATAGTATTTTTCATATTGGATACGATTAGAAAGAATAATAATCGAAATTTTAATTTCGTTCTCATTTTTAATAGAGTCTGTACTTACCGAACACTCACATTCAAGGGCGGGAAGATAAATTTTTTTTTCAATATTTTATACCTGGTGCGGGTCCCATGTGACTGAAAATTCAAAAATCTTTTGAATTTCTGTAAAATATTTCATGTACTTTCAGCATAAATCTTTTTAATATTGTGTTTTACTATCTAAATCTCTACATGAAACATAGTATAATAAGATTGGTTAGGGAAGTGATACAGATAGTTTAAAATTTAAATAAATAAAAATGAGTGACAAATAAGTGAACAATATTCGTGAATTTCGTAAACTGTATTTAATAGAAAGTTATTAACATTAGCCAAGGGCTAAATATATTTTCTAATGATGATGGCCGACACAATTGATCAAAATTTATGTGAGATTTCAATTCGTTTCATCATATCAAAATCCACTTTTTTTTCCCTTGAGAATCCTTCTTGAATTTTCATAAGATTTGTTCACACTAATCAAATGGCGAAAAGTTCAATTTACCATAGATATACTGCCACGGCGAAATGATTTGTTCACACCATTCAAACATATGACAGTTTTACAATTAATTTTTTGAACTGGATTTCTTTCTTCTTTTTTTCCATCTTTTTCGCCTTACATTTGATGAAGAACAATTTTCCAAAGTGAAATCGAAACGTTCGACTTGAAGTTTCAAAGTAGTAGTGTCGAAGATTAAAATTTAAATAAATAAATATTTCCCATTTCTGGTACCTTCAAACTTCTATACATGATGATAAATTGGTATCAAATCATTCGTACTATCCATATTAAGTCTTATAAGAATTGTGAAGTGGTAGGCAAAGTTATTTTTTGAGATGTAGACATTTTTTTTTTTAATTTTAGTTATTATTAAATTTTGTGCTAGAAAAGTTTG